GTATAATACAAATTGAACAGAAGTTATTTCTAAAGCAATACTTTTCCTTGTTAACTTATTTGTTTATAAGTTTAAAGTCTCTCACAAAACACATGCTTTCAGATAACAAAACTCTATTTTTTTCTTCCTTGACCCATACTCGTTATTATCTTCCATTTCCTTCCCCTTCAACACATTCCAATATTTTCTTATAATCTACATTACTTTCAAGAAAAAGCTCATATCTATATTTCTAGGCCGTTAACTTCAGTCTCTGAATTAACTATCTGGACTCAATATATATTTTCTGTCTTTTAAGATTACTTTTTCCTCCCCAACTAGTAACAATCCCTTTTTATGCACAGTGAACTTGCATGCATTACAGTTTCTTCTGAATGACAAAGCAGTAAGCTAGCTTGCTACGGCACCTATAAGAAGGAATGACTGACCAATTTTAACCACAGTAGAGCTCTAACTTCAGACAAAAGGAAAATTGTTTATGAAATTAATTTGGTTTCATGTAATGATCAGACTAAATGAAATTAAATGATGCAATTTTAAAGTTTGAAAGAGCACTGTTAACCACATAACTAAAGCTATTCGGCCAGATTTAAAAGAATTCTAAAACATGAGCTTACGAGTTACTGCAGCCAAAAGCTACCATCAGAGAACAGCTATGAACTCACTCAAAAATATGTAGCATAAAAAAAAACAAAACAAAAAAAACTCAAAAAGCCTTTAAAAAGAACATTTATATGAGTCATTTAAGAGATAGAGGTTCACACACGTACCTTTTAAAGAAGCTTTTTTCAATACTTTCATTGCATAAAGTTGCCCAGCATCAGGACCAATTATTTTCCGTACAAGGAAGACCTGGTAATACAAAAATACAAACCCCATTTTTAAAATTACTCCTGAAAATCTTTTATGTAAACACTAGATTAAGCTGACTTAAATTAAAAAAACACATTATTTTATGCCTTTATCTTAAACTTCATTAATACAGACAAGGAGATAGCATGTCCCTAGTCCCATCCCACTCCTCGAATAGTCCATGCAATGAAAAGGATGCCAAACATTCATAATGTCTTTTTGCATCAGCAAGCTTAGTAATCAAATATGCAACTATCACAAAACATTTGCAAACATCCTATTTATTTCAGACAGCTTTCAGTGTTCTTTCCTAAATATACACCTTTAAAGGAAGAGCAAAATTACATTCCCTTAATCAGATTAAAGGTACGTACACCACCAAGCTCTCTGAAGTATTAAGCTTCATTATAAACTATGCATTCTTTCCTACAGCAAGCCATTTAAATAAGTACTTATTTGATAAGTAGTTAATAAATCTGTATCTTTATATTCCTTTCTTGGAGAAAGACAATTCTGCCTGGTCTGGCACCTCCTAAGAGTTTTTTAAGACCCAAGTCTCAAATATGTAACAGGTTGTATTAATGAATTCTGTAAGAGTGGCAAGATGAAAGCAAGGAAACCTCACCATTCAAGATCAAAGCACCCTTTCCCCCTGGAATAGCAACTCCAACAGGTCTTTCTACTCTCTTCTTTCCAGGGGAGTTTTAAAGATAGATGGTATATAACTTGACACTAAGAAAAGCATAATATTAGATAAAATCATGCAGTACAAATACATGTATCTCCAGTGAGTAATATTCTAACTACTAGTCTTTCAATTTACAAAATGGCTTGGTATGTGCTTCTGTTTCCAAGCTGCTGCTCTTATAATAGCAATTATCATGAGGAATGTTTGTACCATAAAAAAAATGATGTATGATCACAAGAGAATGCCAAGAGCTACCCAAAACGGCCTCTGTGATCTTGCCTTATTCAGGTTTTCATTAACACCAGATTTGTTTACAGATACTTCATTAGAATTTATTAGATAACTAGAAATTAGATTTTTAAAAAATAAGCATACAAGCTTGCAACATTCTCCATTCTAGAATAAGAAATTTATACACTGACACTGACCACATTCTACAGGGTTGGGAGAGGGGCTGTTTTTATTTTAAGCTCTGATTTGTAGAAAAAAGTCATTGTGTTTCAAGGTTATTGGGCTTTTTGTTTAAATTTTGCCTAATGACTGATCTGTAGCACTTCTCTCCTGTTACATGATGTTGATGCTCAAATAGTAAAGGGAATAATTCAGACACCAGCAAATAAGAAAACATCTTTAGAGTAATACACTCACAACTACAAAAGTATTTATAAGCCTGTACAAGTATTTTAGTGCTTAATAACTAGCAGCCTGTGACAGTAAGGAATTCACATACAAGTTACAAATTTCAGCCAATAACGACCAAAAGAGTTGATACTCAAAACTACTCAAACGCCATCTATTTAACCTGCAGACAAAGTCTCCATAATCCTGCACCTTGCAGAGATGCAATGACTGGTCATTCAATTGAAAAGCAGATTCAAGGTGGCCATATGTGCAAGATGATTCAACGAAGCCAATCAAAGATCATCTTCAGCAGATCAGGTGCTAAAGCTTTAGATTATCAAAGGCTGAAGAGAGAAATCCAGTAATGGACATGAAGTTTAACCCTCTATTTCTGTGAAGCAGTGTTAAATCCTGCACAGATGTCAGAAAAGACAGGTAGAGGATGGGCTGTAGCACTGTAATACACCAGAGAAAATAAACCTTGTGTTTGCTAAACCCAAAGGGAGATCCCTGGGAAGTATGAACTAGAGGGATTAAAACAAACACCATCAAGGCAACAGTCATTGATCTTTGTTGTCTGTTTTCCCTTTTCAATAGAAAGCCACAAAGAGTAGACAAAATGAGCTCTGCTCAGATTTGCAACAGTCACCATCCAGTTCTTAAAGCTAGTTCCTCAACCAACTACTGCCAGGTTTTGAGAGCTCTAAAACAGATGGCAGGATTCTGAGCAAGAGCTTCTTTAGGCTGTCCGGAGTCTGAACTCTGTGAAGTAAGAACCTGAGTCAGGGCTAAAAGGTCGGTACCAGATGTACTAACCTAAGATAGCTTAATACATCTCAAGTCAGGAGTAATAAACACATGGAGCCTTTTAAACTCTCAAGACGTGTATGAGGGAATTGACAACCAACACTGCCAGATAAAGAAATATTTCCTAAGCTGTAAAGCGTGAAGAAATACTTTAAAGTCTATTTTCTGAACTATCACTTATTTCCAAAATGCCTTCCTAATGTCTTCCTCCCCACATACAACTCTATGCAGAGATTTGTTCTTGCCATGAGGCAAATAAAACCAGCACAAGAACAGGAAAACAGAAGCGTGTATAAAAGTGATTGTCTACTTGAAGCTGCAAAAGATCTAGTTTGAGTCTGGTTTAAAACAACAAATTAGCTTTTTATACACTAGGATTAGTATTTCAACTAATGTGTTTAAAACTAGTGACTGAGATACTACAGTCTTATTTTCATTTCTGCAATGTGACTCCAAATGGTACACTACAAAAACATCAGTGTAACAAAAAAATTGCCATATTTCTTCTATATGCTATTTGACTGATTGTTCACTTAGTGTCTTTTAGCTGCACATTACTTGACAGATACAACAAAATAAAAAACCTGAAACACATTTCCCAGGTTATTTACTGTTACGCTGATTCAAGTTCCAAACTGCCACAATCATTCTCCCATATCTACCTCAATACAAATTTTGTATACTGAAAAGAGTCAAACATTCACAGCATGTGAAGTACCATCACTAAAAGAGAAATCACTGCCTCCTCCAGAAGAGCCTCCAGAAATGTCTATTACACCACTGGTGCCTCCCAAGCATGAACCTAAGCTACAGAAGATGCAAAGCAACCTATACAGAACAGAGTTATTGTTCAGTCTGATTCCTCAGTAGACGGTGCAACAAAGTACTGAGGCAGTTGAAAACACCATGGATTTGCTTCAGATAGCCATGGCATTAGGCAAACAGAGCATGTCAACACAAGGGCTGTTGTATAAAACCCACACCAAAATCTTTTCATATGAAAAAGACAAGGGGTAATGGGTACAAGTTAGTCCCAGGGAGATTCCAACTGCACACAGGAAGAGAACAACCAGTCACTGGAATCACCTCCCCAGGTAAGTGGTAGATTCCCCAACACCAGACACGTTTAAGATTCAGCTTGAGAGAATGCTGGGACATCTAGTCTAAGTCATGCTTGGCCTAGAAAGGTTGGACCAGATGATCCTTGAGGTCCCTTCCAACCTGGTATTCTAGGATTCTATAATCCAGCTGGTCAGATTCCTTACTGTTGGTACTATTATTTCCATGAAACTGCAGATGCCAGTCCAAGTAAAGCACAAACGTGCCTCTTTTCAGTGAAAGCAAACCACAGCTTTCCATGGCAGCCCTCCTAAAATCTGCTGCTGACTGACCCTTCCTGCCCAAAGACTGAGGCTGTTGTCCCTCAGCATCTGGTATGATTTGGTGTACTGCTATAAAAAATGCTGCCTTGGCACCAGAGTAAGATTGAAAAAGATTAAATTTGTCAGTATCTTTTCAAACATCCCCAGCAACTCTGCTAAAGCAGTAACTTTCCTGAACGCCTGGACAGGTCTATGGAAGAAGACACCAACTTTTCCTCTAAAAACAAGACAGAAATGCAAGACAGCAAAAATGTAACACCTCCCACTCCCCACCCAACTGCAAAACAGGGCAATTTCCACAGGTATATCTATATGCACTCAGATGTGCTAGGTTTATACCTTCCCTTGTAGGAGTAAGACAAAGCAGGTTCAAACTGAACATCAAATAAAAACTTATCTTACCTTTCCAAATGATCCCTGTCCAAGAACCTTGAGTAGTTCAAACTGTGCTGGATCTGCTTTCTCACAGCCTTCTTTCACATGGTGTGTAATAGGAATTTCTTTCACACTTCCTTCATCCTATTATTTCAAGACAAACAAAAAACAACAATGAACAGGCCTGAATGAATCAAGTATCATTAGAAATGCACGCAAATGCCTGCTCTTTTCTTTGTTGGTGTTTTGTTTGTTTGTTTGGGGTGTTTTGGGGGGGGGGTGTTCTGTTTTGGTTTGGTTTCTTAACATTTTAAATTCTAGTATGACAAGAAAGCTGTTCAGATGAAGAATATTCCCATCCATCCTTTCCTAAATAGAAATTTCTAAACTGACATAAAATTCTCAAAGAATGCTTATTTACTTTTGTCGTAATTTACAGCTACAGCAAAGACGGATTTTCTTGCATGAAAGGAATAAATGCACAGATCTTTAAACCAAGTCTAAGATGATCCTTCTGTAATTCACTTTTGTTTAGCAGTCTTTAGTTTTCCCCGTGGCTAGTCTTCTTATCTTCCCTTCCTAAAATAGCCTTAATGAAAGCTAAATTGAATTTCATCATTTCAGTAATTATTGCTTTTCACAGCAGCAAATAATAAATATGGTCACCCATTTGCAGCTAGAGGAATATGCATCATTTGAAGAGCACAAATGTCTTATTTGTGAGTCATCTTAAGAACTCTGAGAATTCTTGCATTCAACAGAAGAAACAGCTCTGGAGCGCAGAGTTCATGGAAAGACTATCTTGTGTGGAGACGACCTTCAGAAAGCTGAGGGTAATTCTGAACTGTTCACTTCTTCCTGTTACTCTCATCTTTAGCAAAGCAGAGCACAGCACCCTCAGTTGTGAAAAGAGAAGCATTCATGATGAAAACAAATCAGATGATGTATTGCAGCTTTCATGGTGTAAGAGAAGTTTGTGTGAGCCAAAACAAGCAAGATGTCAAAATAAGCACCCTTGAAACTTAAAGCTACGTGCTAAAGCCTACAACAGCAACCTCAGATTACATGTAGAAAAGGAGCAGCACCTCTTTGCCCTACCAAGAATACCAATGAACTTCCTGTACACAGCAAATACATCCCAATCACATCAGGAAATCACATCTGATTTACAGTGCGTTGCTTTTAGGGTATCCAAATTATCATTAACTGTCCTCCTATCCTCTCTTTAGGTCTTCATCTTGAAAACTTCTCTCAGCAGAGACCAGAAAAACACCCTACAAACCCACAGTGCACTGATCTCCTTCAATGACAAGTACAAACAGCACCAGAAAAAGACCTGACCACTTAATGAAACGGTTGGCTTTAGTTAAAAACAGCATTCTATAGTCAGGCTGAATACAGAAAGTCTTGCGTGCCGGGAAGTGTTTATGGCCAGACTGGACGGGGCTTGGAGCAACCTGGTCTAGTGGAAGGTGTCATTGCCTGTGGCAGGGGGTTGGAACTGGATATGTGTTAAGGTCCCTTCCAACCCAAACATTTCTATGAAGACCACACATTACAACAAGTAAACTGCTGACATACATTTACAATACAGTGTATACATGCCAACTTCATTTCATCCCTCCACCTTGCTGACTGTACATGTAACTATTCATCGGAAAGATGCACATATCTTATTTTAAACACGTGCCTGGAATTTAAGGCAGGTAAGAACACCAGCATTTCAAGTCATCTGACAACAGATGAAAGCAGAGAGTTGTGTAGTTGTACAAGAGACTTAATGGGTGGTTCTTTCTACGAAATATGTAAATAGTCTATTTAAATGCCTTTTTACTTCACCACCCTAATTTGTATTCCTTAACGCTGTGAACCTATACATGAGAAAAGATATTTAAGAGTTCACCTGCTCTTCTGTTTGTCACCCACCTTGAGTCATTAGCCTGTGACATCACATGTGGTTGCTGAGGAGACTGACAGAGTATTTCTAAATGTGAACCGAGGAGAAAAATGTTTTCCATGCAAATAAAGAATAACTTGAGATGTATGAAATGAGTTATTTTTTATAAAGTGTTTTACCTTTGCAAGAGATCTCACTTAACAATCATTAAAGGACTGAAAATTGGCATGACTGAAGAGGACCTCTGCATCATCAACAAGAAATGAGCAAGTAAGAAGCTGAACAGATACATAAGCCAGTTTCATTTCCATTTCTGGTTTGACCTCCATGAACTGGAAATCTGGTTATCTGGTTTTGTACTCTGCTGGTTGAACAGCACATCCATCTCAGGGTTCAGGTACCAGCTCCCACCGAGCTGCCTGGCACAAGAGGTAACTATTCTCAGTAGTTCAAGAGAACAAAGCACTGAAAGAAATGCTGCAATCGTTTATGGCGTTGTGCCATTTTACTTTGTTACAGCTTGACTGGTATGTAGCTCCAAGCACCTAACAAACAAGCTCAGCAACATCCTTCTGGTTCAAGTACAGCAAAAGATTGAGACAACCCATTGCTCATCTGTCTTTGCTACATGTAACATGACTACAACACTGTTTATTTACTTACTCCACACCAGGAAATGTCCAATTACCACATTTCTATCCCCAAGAGTTTATTCTCCAAATCACTTACTTAAGAAGTTATTGCAACACAAAGCAGTGGTTACAGCTGGCAGTAAAATCTACTTGATACCTTCTTCCATGATTCTGTTCAAAAACACATGGATAGGCATGCTGAAAACTGATGGCAAATTTTTCCATGCGAAGTCAGGCATTTCACTACGCACAGAACTAGCCTGAAGTTCAGTCCAAGATTTAGCCAACATACAGAACACTGACCTTTAGCATTTCCTAACTACGCACATCACTGAGGCACAGGTCAAAAATCATGTTCAGCAGGGTTTATCTGGGATATTTCTATGCAAGCCAAGTTAACACACTGGTGTAAAAACTCTGGTTTAAAATAGCAGGAATTAAGCACCTTCTAGACAAATGTACCACAACTACATAAAAAAAAAAAACAAACCCACACAAACAGATGACAGTGTAATAAGAGCAATGTTAAGCGCTCTGTGGATAAACGGTTCAAGGCCGGACAGAGCATTTTCCAAGGTTGAGGGATCTGTCAATGTTCCCTCCAGCACACAGAGTCTGTTTTCCATAACCTCATGGGACAAACTTTCCCAAACAAGGTCCCTACCCAGGTACTAATTTTCAAAATCACCTTTGAGACTTGGAACCTTTTCAGATCTGTTCACATAAAATGACAGGTTCAAAAGTTATTACAGAGCAGGAAATGCATGAATTTTGCTTCAAAAGCAAGTCACGCTAATAAGCGTCTGAACATCTATCGAATATACTTACATGGTAGGCATATGGTTCACCTTCTTCCATAGGCTCATCTGCCATTTTAAGGCCATTTAGCTACAGAGAGGAAGGAAAGGGAATGCAGAAGAAAAACAAAAACAAAGTTAAGACCTAAAAATTTTAAATAAGCAGAGTTCATCATTTGGCCAATTCACATTTCAGAGCACACAAATGGAAACTGATGCTCTTGTCACTCGAAAACTGGAGTTTCAAACAACTACTACTTAGACATTATATTTAGCATCTCCCTTAAGTATGATTTAGCATATCCCTTTGTAAATGCTGTTGTATAGTGTTATTTAATTGGAATGAATTTAAAATTCCTTCTTTAAAAGCTACAGATACCATCCATACAAGATGACAGTAACACAACCTTCCTGGTAAGCACAAAACTTATGTTGCAGATGCTTTTCAGACACCTAAAACCTGCTGCTGACAGTTAACTGCATTTTAAGAAGAAAAGATTCAGAAGTGATTTAGAGTCTTTTTAGGGCAAGAGCGAGAAGGGCAAGAGCAGGTAGTACACAGAAGACACACCACAGAATTCTTACGCCCAAAATAATTACCTATTTCCTTAAAAATTTAGACTCCTCTAAAAATTGGCTTGCCTCAGAAGTTATTTAAATATCTAGAAATTAGAATACTCAAATTTTAAGTACTTCAGAAACTGTAGCTTCATATATTAAAATACTTCTGGATCCATTTCAAAAACACATCTCTGACAGACAGTAAAGTATGATATGCATCTGGACAGAAGCAAATAAATGACATGCTCTTAATGACATGCTCTTAATTCAGCACAATACTTGCTAGCAATTACCAACCCCCTCCCCACCTCCAAACAGCAGTAAAAAGACAGAGTCCACAGTCACAGTAAAAGAAGTTGGTAAGTTATTTAGCTGAAGCTCTAAGTAACAATGGTGCTTAACAACTGAAACTTGACAAAACCCCAATGAATCTGAAGGACATGCTCCGCTTAAACATGCAAAGCATTAATTAAAAACTGAAAATACCTGACAAAACGGGTGAAGCCAATTATGGATTTTGCTAGTGATAATTGTTAATTTATTTGTATGTTAATTGGTCAGCATTTCTACCTTCATGTGGCATCAGTCTCGCACAGCAAAACGCTAACCAGAAGTAACATAAGGAAACTCAAAACACTTTTTCCCTGAAAACAGAACTGAAACCAAGTAAGCTCTTAGACCAGATAATGACACTTTTTTTCTTATACTTCTAAATTTACTTAAAATACATGCCTAAGATACTGAACTATGGTATGATTATCAGTATGCGAGTTGGTAAAACACGATTAGAAAGAACTTGAAATGTAGACCATGCCTCTGTTTAAAACCAAAACAGGAAACTTGATAGACGGGTAGGGCTGAAGGGACAGGTTTTTACCACCATCACGGCATCATCTAAGCAAACCCTCAACCACTTCTACTGCTTCTTTTAGGACTCCTGATTTCAAGTACAGTTTTGAGGAGCCAAGTGCTAAATGAATGATTTTGATAAAGCTAAGTCTCCAATTTTTCTATCAAGATACCAGCACTCATTTTTGGATTCACTAAAGGAAAGAAAAACTTATCAAGTAAAGTAGCATGCGACTTTGGTTACTTTCACTCTTCTCTATGTTTTTATTTTAACCACAGTTGACACACACATTTTACATTACCTATAATCTGTCAGTTTCACCAAGGACCGGCATATTCAACACATTCATTATTTGTACCTATCATGCACTGCCACCGTAATTTCTCAAGGCCAAAACCCACTAACCCATTACCCTAGATTCAAAAATCTCACATACACTACAATGCTACTAACTAATTTTGCTACATATCAACCCTTTTTTGCATTAATATTTTTACCAAATTGGATACTGGGATGGACCAAACACCCAATATACTTGTTGTTACACAAATTAACTGAATGTACTGAGAAATAATGCCAAAACTCAGACCAGATATGAACCAGGTATGTGCCATCCCTAGAGATATTAAAGGCCAGGCTGAACATGATTCTGGGCAACCTCATCTAGTTGAAGATGTCCCTGCTGGTTGCAGAGGGGTTGAACAAGGCGATCTTTGAAGGTGCCTTCCAACCCAACCCGGTCTACATTTCACTGTCACGTACTTTCTTTTCACAGTATCACTAGGTTACATTCAAGTGTGAATCAATGTGAAGGCCCACCAAAGTTGTCCAAAAAACTTATTTGGACCCAGTAGTAAAATGGGTGTCCACACTCCAGGTGCTCAGAAATCAAATACAATTCTTCACTCATGGACTTACTTGAAGTGAACTTAAGGGGCATTTTGCCTTTTCTTTCTTTAAATGTGGTCAACATTTTCCAAGTATTGCTTCATAATTTAAGCTCTGGAAGCAATACTACCAGCCAGAAGGACTGCTGATACACTGAAAACAGCAGCTTAATTCCAGGCAATCAGAAACAGAAAGCTGTCACCTCTGGAACAGGGTTTTGAAACAAAAATCATCATACTATTTGATCTACATAATTCCTAAGCACACCATATGAAGCATACTTTCAGCTTTCTGGCAAAACAAATGTATTCAGTTATTGGATTTTTATGGCGGGTAATCAAATGCCATCTTAATTAACAACTTCCTATCGTACACTTTCCCCCTTCACTGTTGTGCATGGGGCTTTTTTTCCTGTCCAGTCTGGGATGCCTGCCAAAGTCCAAAGGCTTTCTTGTTCAAGTGCCTGCATCTACTTCTATTGCCTGATAGTCACAACCATGCTTTCACCTTCTTTGTTTGTGAATCCTGGTCACTGTCCATTAAAACAAAACCAAACCACCACCAACCTGTTGGACTGCAACTTTTTTTAGTTATTCAGTTACAAATTTCAATGACAAAAATCAAATCATTACTCTTCTGTACAGATACTTATATTGGCTAAGTTTCAGCAACGGAAGTGCTCACTATCTCTCATATAAGGCAAAAAATTAACACTTAATTCCCACCTCCGTGGAAATGAAATCCAAAACTCTGTTTCCACAGCCAAGTGGGACCACTTTTAGCGATGTAATCGTAAATATTTATGCACAAACATATACCAAACTATTTAAACCTCCAAGTCTTTACTAAATATCTATGAACACACATATTTAATTATGGAGAACTGGAAAGCATGTTTCAAGGAGAACAGGTGAAAGAACCACAGAATAGTTTGGGTTGAAAGGGGCCTTTAAAGGTCATTTAGTCCACCCCCCCCTGCAATGAGCAGGGACATCTTCAACTAGATCAGGCTGCCAAGAAGCAAGTACCACTACTCTGACAGAGATTTTTCATCCATGAAGCATTTTGTTGTTCAGTACTGCTGAAGTTCTATAACTAACCGAACATTTTAAATATTAACTCTCATTAGAACACAAACTAAACTCAGACATTTAGGCAAAAAATGTGCATGCTTTCCAAAGACAAAATGAGAAAGTGATAGAAAATATTCCCCATTCTTGATTAGTATAAAAATAACTAGAACAGCTACATAAAATATGAGACAACCTGGCAGGTAAGAGACTTACTTTTCCAGAGGTGCAGGCTAAGAGACCCAATCCTCCAATGTCAAAACTGCCTCCTGATTTAAATAGCTGCAATGGATCCCATGACTCGCTGGGACTATACCCTACTGCCTGAGGAGAATGTCCAAAGGGCTTTTGTGAGCTGGTAAAAGGCTTAACTACTGTTGCACATGTTTTCCCTCTGGTAATTACAGCAGAAGAATTCCAGTATTACCAAAGATTTGCACCATCTTCCTTCCCATGTGAAAGACGTTTTAACCGTTCATACAGTAAATGCATTATGGTTTGGTGGGTCTATAGGCTTTGCCAGAAAGCAGCTAAACAAATGGTCAGCAAAATGCCTAACTACAAGGAAAAACTGCAGAAGGTGTAAAGCTGGTTCACTCTGCTCTGCTTTCACACATCTCCATTTAGGCATTCAAACAGAATTAAAAAAAATAGAGAAAAAGCAGAACAGGGAATTTTATAATCATACTATTATTAGAAGTAGAAAGTGTTACTCATCACCACTCACATATAATCTCGTCTGGCTTCAAACAGGTAAAATTCTACATAAGGATGAACAAAGGCTTCTGCATCCTCTATGGTTCCTCCCTCACTGTGCTTAATTTGCTAAGACCACAGCTACAGTCACCAGACCTAGACCTCTCAGTTCTTCCAAATGAACACAGGAATAACCAGTTTGCTTCCCCACATACAGAAGTATTACTTCAAATACTTATTTAAAAATGTTAGAGTGGAAGCTTACACTAGAAACCCCAATTATTTCGAAAAGACTTTGAAAATATCTTTTGAAAAAAGTCCTGTGAAGACAACCACATTTGTTCCTCATTTATTCCACATTACATCTGCACAGAGTTTGCATCATTAAACTACTTAGCAACACACTGGCCTACTGAATCTTATTTTCTGATATAGGTTTGAGAAATCTGGGGATTCTGTGAACAGACAAACAGGTGAGGGGGGTGTTTCTTTTCTGAATGCCTAAAAGTCACCATGAAGAAAACTGAAGCTTAAAGGCACCTGGTTTTCCTATAAAACATTTACAACTTTTCTCCAATCAACTGATGATTGTTTTTTCTTAAACAGTAGATATTCTTATTGCATGGAGCAGCCCAAGCAGGATTCGGTACTCTTTACTGCCTGGGCTGGCATGCTTTTGGGAAGGAACAGTTTTCCCCACTACAACAGCCAGCCCCACGAAGTGCAATGTGAAGCAGGGTTGTTAGGGTTACCTAACACTGAGTTACACTAACAACAGCTGAGTCCTAACCTACCACAATGTGACCAGAGGAAGAATGACTGCTGATGGCAGAGTCCACCTGAAACTACGCAGGTTGATGCTGAGTTTTCTCATCCACTGCTAGCCTCATTCCCTCAGTTCCTCTCACAAAGGGAAGAGGACAGGTAACTCACAGTCTCTT